TATGTTGTATCTTTGATCATAGTAATTGAGTATTTACCTTCATTAAAAATAAATTATTTCGACTGTTCAATACAATGAAATATTAAAAAATAATCACAACTTACTTAATTAATTTTATGACCAACTTCATTTAAGTATTTTTCCAGCAAATTTTTGATTATGTTTGACGTGTGACGCTAAAAAACGTGACGTCACAATTAACAATCGAATAGTGAAAAGTGGGTGTTACATTGTACAGTGGCATAATGTACACCTCTGTCTACCCCTTCGGGGATAAAAGGCGTGATGTTATGTTATGTTGTATTATAATTACATTTAAGTTATTTCATATAGTTTAGGCAAGCGAAGACATTTCATATTGTTATTCTAACTATTGACATTAATTAGTGAGTCGGTATTTTTGATCTCATTAGATGTGATTATTTGACTATTTGATATCTAATATTGGAACTTTTAATTACCTTTAGGATTATATACAAAGATTATTTCATTTAATTTCTAATTTTAAATAGACCTTATTTTATGAATTGTTCAACCAAAATTTTTTATGTTTAATAATTTTTTTATTTGACTTGTTTTGCATTGTTATGTTATGATTTGGATTTTTGATATTGTATTTCTTTTGTATTTTCTTGACATTTCTGTAATTTAATTTAACTCGTCGAGTACCGTCGTTATAGACACAATTATAGAACAATAGGTTGCGGTCACCGGTGACCGCTTGGTGTTTGACAGTTTAAACTGATTTCATTCAATTGCTATAAATGTTTGTATGGGCATGATGTGATTCCCTTTAATTGAAGGATCACAAGGTTATTGTAACGTGTGGTGGATTATTTTTTTTTTGCATGTAAGTGTATCTTTTGTTTGGAGTCCAAATCAATAAAACATAAATTCACTTGTTTAGCATCTTAAAAAAATACCTAAGTATGACTTGTATCTACTTCCAGCGGCCGCATTCTAGCCGGCAGTCACTTCACATGGCGCGGGCGGGGCTCCGCCCTCACACTGGTGGCTGCCGGAGTCCCGGGCTCCAAGGTCCATGCAGCTAGACCGTACACCGCCTGCGCAGCTTGGTTACAGGTGAACTATTTCATGAGTTTATTGACTCGTCGAGTACCGTCATTATAGACACAATTATAGAACAATAGGTTGCGGTCGCCGGTGACCGCTTGGTGTTTGACAGATTAAATATCCTAAGAGATAACTTGGTAACA